TGTATAGGAAAATTGGTTGTTGTATTTTAATCCTGTATTCTGCAACCTGATAAATGTAGATCTTTTATCATTTTGTAAAAATAGCTTTTAATCATCTTCTTATTTGTTCTTTCTTTCTGAGATTCCTGTTTATTAGATATTTAATATCTTCAATGAATTCTTTCTCTTTGAGTGTGTTGGTGATTTTATTATATTTCTGGAGGATTTTATTAGTTTTTTTTTTTGTTCTCAAACTTCTATTTTAATGTTTATTTCTGCTTACACACTTCAGATACTCTGATTTAAAATTGAGACTCCTTTATTTTTTCCTTTTTCTTTTTTGTAACATGATGTTCTTGTTTCATTGATATAATCTCATATAGACAAAGGTAATAATTGCAGTTCTTTAAATTCTCTTACATGCTATGAATATTTTTTTTTATTTCCTCCAGTTTTGTTTTTACTTATTAATGATCTGTGAACTTTGTACATGAGGCCCTGGTATCTGAATCAGACCTTCTGCCTCCCAGAGCTTACCCCACACATTGAGGCTGGTGAGCCTACGAGGGAGGATGGCTGACTGTCAGAACCCAGTGGTCAGTATTACTGGCTTGTTCTTTGGCTGGTCAGTTTCCCCTAAGACAAGTCTTGTGCTCTTGTTTAGTGTGTGACTGAGGTCAAAGTGGGAGTTTGTCCTAACCTTCTTGCTGACATGCTGGGAGGTGAGCAGAGGAGACAATGAGGCATTTATTATAGGTTTGTTACCCCTAGGTATCTGCATGCCAGCTTTTCTCTTTCGTTGCGTCAGGCACCCTCCGTGCCTTCTGCTTACAAGTGAGCGGGGGGCCATTTGTCTTCTTCACATGCAGCCTTACTTTTGGAGTCAATTTTCCCCCCAATACTGTACATTAAACCCAGAGGAACTTTGACCCTGAGCTATACCCCCAGCCCTTTTTATTGTTTTAATCTTGAGATGGGGCCTCACATGTTGCTGAGGCTGGCCTGAACTTGTGATCCTCCTCCCCCAGCCTCCTGAGTCATTGTATATTACAGGTGTGGCCCACTGTGCCCAGCGACCTGCCCTCCACTTTGCAGCTTCAAGAGTTCCCTTGACTTCAGTTGCTTCTCCTCTCAGTTTCTTGGTCCTTGTCCATTTTTTGTTCTTTCAATATCTTGTAATGTCATTAAAATGTTTCACATTTGCATGGTTAATATTTAATGATTGTACGATATTTCATTGAAACACTGTGGTACAATTATTTGATTTAATGATTAAAAATTCAGGACACCCAGTTCAACTTGAACTTCAGGTGGACAATTTCTTCCCAGTGTATGTGTATCCCTTGCAATGTTTCCAGTGCAGTGTTTAGGACATATTTATTTTTTGTTCTTTGTCTGAAATTCAATTGGAAGTGGGCATTCTGTAATTCATCCTGCAACCTTCAAAGTTCCTATTACTTACGCAATTTCTTCCCTTGAATACCTAGGTATTTTCCGTGATGCAATGGACATCTTTGCGCTTAAAATTTCCTATTTCAAATTGCTTTCTCTGGTGGGTTATTAGAAGTAGAATTATTGAAGAGATGAGTGTTTTCTCCAAGACTTTTCCAAGACTTTTGCCAAATCGCTTCTTAAAAAGGTTATAGCAATTTATGCTCCCACCAGCAGCGTACGAGAGTCCTCATTCCCTGCTCCCTTGCTACCATTATCATCACTTAAATACTTCTTTGCTATTTTGGCAGGCAAATAATGATATATCATTTTCATCTCTGATTACTAATGAGGTTCACATTTTTTGTTTATTAAGCATTCGATGTCCTGATTTTGAAATTTTCTGCAAGTGCATCCTGACTTCTCTGCCCTTACTTTGCATTGCTTTGAAGTCATAGGAATAGGTCTTGTTTTTACTTAGTTAATTATTTTTACTCAGGGGCTGGGGCTGGAGCCGGGTCCCCAGGCTCATGTACAGGACAGTTTCTGCACCATAGCTCACCCCTAGCGTACCTGCCAGTCTGTCATTTAAAAATAAAGCTTCCCCATGACTACTAAGTGCATTTACAATAAATCCATTAAAATATTGAGGATACTAATGTTCTTCTGCGTCTGCAGAATTCAAGATCTCTTCTCACAGTTCTTCCCCATTTTTGTTCCTAACATATGACTGATCTCAAGCTCAGCTTCTGCACACACTGGCTTACCCATGCTTAGCAACCACAGGCTTCTGCTGCGTTCCCAGGGACAGTGGACTCCATGGTGTCAGCAATGCTTACCTTATGAAAGTACCCATTTGGGTACGTTGGCCTGGTGTGGTGGTGCACACCTGTAATCCCAGCAGCTCAGGAGGCTGAGGCCGCAGGATCAGGAGTTCAAAGCTAGCCTCACCAACTTAACAAGGCCCTGTCTCAAATTAAAAAAATAAAAAGTGCTGGGGATGAGGCTCAGTGGCTAAGCACCCCTGAGTTCAATTCTCAGTGCCAAAAAAAGTACCAATACCTGGAAGATGGAGCTCCATTTCCAACATGAGGGAGGTCGGGGAGCCCTTCTGTGGACTTCCAGAGGCGTTACCACTTTCCAAGTGAGGCCACAGGCACCAACATAGAGAAGCGCTGAGATGGCAGAACGCCCTTCCTCTAGGAAAAGCAAGACCAAAGAGCACAGTGGCTGTTGGTGCATTTCCTGATGTGCTGTGCTGGCAGGCCTCCTGTCGCCCATGGTGGGCCTGCCCTTCTGCCCTCGCTGGGCCTTTCCAGCGCCTGTCGGTGGGCGGCCTGCATAGGTACAGCCTGGCCACATGTGCCTTCCCAGGCCTTGCTTTCTGGAGGTTGTTGGTCTGACTTCATTTTTCACATCTGACACCGCGTCGCTTCCCGCTCTTGGCCGCCCCTGGGTTCTCCAGCAGTGCCTGGATCCTCTCTGGATCAAGCCTGTCCATGTCGCCCTCTGGTCACTGGGCCTGACTCCAGAGGTGCTGACTCTTGTCCCTGGTGCTTCTCTGGGCACATGCCCTCAGCGTCTCAAGACCTCCCAGGGGCCTCTTTTCTTTCTGCTTGTGACTTGGTATTTGAAGTTTTGCACTTTGGTTTGTACCTCTGCTCAAAGATAGCCGTTCCACTGTGAGCGTCTCCATGGGTGAACTGTGTTGGCCTGCAGAGATTACTTCCAGCACTTTCCAGGTTCACCTGGATTGATACAGGTGTGTTTGTGCTCAGGAAAAAGCTCCTCATCTCACAGGGAGGAGACCAGGTCACCGATGGTGTGTCAAGGTAGACTTTAGGGCACGGTCCTGAGGAGGCCTGACCTTTCTTCATCTTCCTCTGACTGTCTACCTCCTGTTGGCCGTCAGCAGTAGCTTCGGATTTCTCAGAGAAAGAATTAATATGTACATGTGGATAAGAGGAAAAGAAATGAGCTCATCCAGAGAGCCCCCACCCTAGAGCCCTGGAATGTTGGTTTTACAGCCATTGTGGCCACTTCCTTTCCAGAGTGCAGCCTCTGAGCCTCGATCCCACAGCCTGTAGAATGGGTCCAGAGAGTCCACCCCATGCTGGAACAAGGTCCTGGTACTCACAGTCCTAGCACAGGGCTTGGTCCCCATGCAGTCTCACAGTTGTCCAAAGGAGGGCATCTCATGGGCAGAAGGCAGGATACCAATGCAACTGTTCTTGAGCTCAGTGGGATGCCAAATATTTACGAATTTCAAAAGTTCATATTCATAAATAGACATTTTACCATTTTTACTAATTGTTCCTCCAATGCAAAACAAGTATTATCTAGCTCTTTCCCTGAACACCACCAACTTGGAACCTAAATCTCAGCAATTATCATCATTCACAAATTACATTTCTGGGCAACTGGAAGATACCATATCATCATTATTGTATTTGTTCAATTTGTGTAATGCATCCTTCGAGGACTCGTTTGGAAGCGTGTGCATATACTATAGATACAAAAATGGATTGCAGAAAGTATTGGACTTTAACGTTTCACTGTGGAATGCATATTCCCAATTAATAGAGCAGACACTTAGGCATTCGGATAGGTGGCTGGAAAAAATTGGGTTGGTAAAAGAACACAATTTAGGCACTCATTTATTAGGGGGAAAATAGGGACATGTCATAAACTATGCCTTGCCCTATACTTGTACTAAGCTTGTACTTGTTTAATGGGAGGAAATATGGTCTGTGTTTCTTAAAATGCCTTAATTTAGGGACACACACTTAAAAGTAAGGAAGACAATTCAGGGTCCTTAGCTCCCAACGTGGGAGTGGGGATTGCAGTGAGACGCCCCCAGCAGGTACCCACCCGCGTACACGGGCACCTGCACACCCACAGTCACACCCTGGCTCACTCTTTGCTTACTGCTCTGACTCTTTACTTTCTCCATGTCTTGATTTTATTTGCTGTTTTCTTCTTTCCTCCTCCTTCCCCTTTGCAGCCAGCTCTGTCTGGTATGAGAAATTTCCAACTCTCTCACTTGACATTCCGGTGAGCCTGCTTTCCTCGCACTGATCTTCCCCAGGAAGAGAATTGGACCATAACTCATTGCGGAGTCGGTGGCGATTGCCTCTAAATTGGCCAAGGGGGACACAAGCAGATTTTGAGCAATAAAAGACCTCTCTCTGCCATGGCCCAAGAGGAGGGGACATGCACACAGGGTGCCTGATGATGAGGGCAGCAAGTGCCAGGAAGGCACAAAACACAAGTGACCTTGATTTTTCATTTTTTCTTTAATCTTTGTATATTTAATAGAAAAACATTTGAAGTTTGTTTTTCCAGTCTGGACAACCACGTGTCAGGAGGCATTTAATGCAGTCAGGGAGAAAAAAAATATATATACTCCCCTTCCAAAAATCTCAAGGTTGAATGGACCAGTCCTGTGCTCTCATCCTTGGGAAAGACCTGGCAGGATGCAGGGCCCGGCAGCCCCCTTGCCTCTCCTGGATGGCTTAGATGCCACACTGACAGCAACTCTCCTGACCTTTGCTCTCTCCTCTCTGATTCTATCTTCTGATCATTTGCAGGGGAACTTCGTGGCGTGCATGACAGCTATTTTACGACAAATGGAAGATTATCATTATGCTCACCTGATCAAGACTTTCGGGAAGATGAGGACTGATGTTGTGGTGGGTGTCCTTTCTTCCACTATTACTTGCCTGTATGGGGTTGGTATTTCTATTTTACATAGATTTGTGCATAAGCATGTGCCTCTGAGTGATTGATGTATCACCAAAGCCTTGTTCCTCATAAGACCAGAGTCCTGACGTGCAGACTCCTGTCCACTGCCGACCTGGAGAACCCACCTCTTGTCTTCTTTGGTCCGTCCTTTCATGAGCTTTGGGTTGGCAGCTGGAGGTGTTTCCTGCGGTGACTGTCATCTTGGCTGGTCAAAGCCTGACAGGCTTTCCAGTCTTAAGCTGCACACCATTGTTAATTAGCTCTAATCATGGATGCTCAACAACATTTCCCCAAATAACTCTCTAGTCACCCTCAGTGAAACTATGATGCAACTTAATTAGGAAAAGTATCATGGAGGGAGTTCATCGCGACGGAGCCATCTCCCCAGTGACCTGAAAGTCCATTGCCATATGGTGGATATCCTGCAAGAAGCTACAGCCAGTCCTGTTGGCAGAGCTCCCAATCAGACATCGACACGAGCTCCAGGACTCTCGGGAATCAGCTCCTATAGACTACCCACAGGTTCCTGCGCAGTACAGCAAACCTGCTGGGGTGTGCACAATGGGACTCGCTCTGTGTGACATCCACCGGGTAAAGGGATGGGAAGAGGAGAATGATTTTATGATTTTTTTCTCCAAGAATTTTTTCTGGGACAATTTTTTAAATTGTTGCCACAATAGGTAGGTAGATAGGTAGGTAGGTAGGTAGGTAGATAAAATTCTAAGTAGAATAAAAATGAACCTATCCCTCAACATCATAGCAATTTCCCTTACATAAAAATCGGGGTACAAGAAAGCATGCCTGTTTGCATGTATGTGTCTTTTGGTTTCCTTTGACTATTAATGAATAGTTTATAGTAGAGGCATATTCAAATATGGGATATATATCACATTTTATACTAGGATTCATGTTAAATCATGGTATATTGAAATCAGATTTTGTATTTACAGCTTGTAGTGCCATAATTGAATCTTAAATGTGTTCATATATCCTGCTTTGGTCAATGAAAAGAATAGTTATAACTTGAAGCTCAATGAATAATTTCTTAGATAAAATTCCAGGCTAAATAATAACACTTTTCAGAATGAGAAGAATTACCCATCCTGCAAAGTAAAGATTCCAGTTAATAATTTGCGCATTAGCAGAACAGTCACGGTCAAAACCCACACATGCAAACTGTTAAAACCATCTCATCTGAACTCCTAAATGGTGCTACTGATATGGGGGTCTGTGAACTGTGAAAAGTGATAATGACCCACAGTGTTTAAAAATTGCTGTGATTGATGAATTCCAAGCTAGTGCCCTCTCTCCTTCCTTGAGCCGAGACTCAGATATTTACTCCATGTTGTGGTCCTAATTTCCCAAGGGACATTTTTTTCCTTTTGGCACAACCAGTCAGAAAATCAATTATTTGCAGACAATTTCATTTCCATTATAAAATGGAATTTGTGATTTGCATATCTCAAATTCATACTTCAGGGATGGTAAACCTTTTTTATTGCTGTTAATCCATCAGAAACTTGATAGAATCTGTTTCTATCCATTAACTATAGGTAGAGGGTGTTTGACTTTTTTTCTACCCTAAAAGACAAAAGAAAATTTTATGTGAACTAATTGGAAGGTATTTAGTGTTCCCACCTGAGACAGCCTCAGCCACCTTCTGGAGACTTCCTTCCTTCTGACAAGGGCTCCCCCATGTTGGCAAGTCCAGCCCTTCTTGCTGAGGTGAGTCGTTCCCACACACACCCATGGGTCATAGAGCTGTTGCTTTTACAGCCTCTCTGGTGGCCCTCTGATCCAAGGTAGTGGGAGGAGAGAGCACACAGGAAAGACTGACCTAGAAAGGAAAAGGAATGGACACAGTCCACGCAGACCTCCCTCCCAGGGGGGCCAGTCCTGTCCTCGAGGATCCGAGCCCCTGACAAGTCTTCAGACCCTGCAGCAGACACACCCATTGACCCACAGTACTGCCACCCTGTATCCAAGTCTCAGCACCAGGAACGGAAGCAGACAGCTTGCCCAAGGCCTGCGTCTCCAGGCAGAGGGATGAGGTCGACTCTGGACCTTCCAAGGGAGACTGTCACCTTGCCTCTTGTCACAGATCCCCAATACATGGCTCAGGAAAAACAACTTGCTTATTTGCACCCTCACCGAGGACTCTTCCATGACCACACGCCTGGAAGTTACTCCCACACCAACTGATTCTGTGACACCGTTCTCTGAGTTTCATGACTCAGTTCAATTCTGACACTGCCTGAAGCTAGTGCCAGACCCAGAGGTTTCAGGGTCAGTTTACGTCCACTTGGTGGTCCTGTCTACCATACTGCTGACCAAGTATCACAGCCAAACAGAATCCGTCCCATTAACCAAAATTATCTTTGCTCTGAAAGGATGGTCCTGACCGTGGGGCAGATCAGAGTGAAGCAGGGGTCAGGCACCTTCTCTGCAAAAGGGACAGTGGTGGAGGCATTGGCACAGTGGGTGAGGGCACAGTGTGGGGGCAGTGCTGGGGAAAGGGGGTCCCTGGGAGCACCCGAAGGGGTGGAGGCGGCAAGCCACAGCAGATCTCCTCCTAAGCAGCGTGAAGACCTTTGTCTTCTTTGCCTCCTTGTTTTTTGTTTTTAACTGCTGTTTTCCCACTGTTTCAGAATGACTGTAAAAGCGTGATTGTTTGAATGAACCTTTTATACTGAGATCACTGCAGCGTCACTGGCAGGGTTCTGTGTGCCCTTCCCCTGGTTCCTCTGACAGTGACGCCTTGCAAAACTGTGGTACAATGTGGCAACCAGGATTTTGATGTGGATGCGACCCCCTCACCCTACTCAGATCTCCCCAGCAACTCCTGTACTCTTTGCCTTAATGAGGTGGAACGCTGTTTTCAAATATTCCAAAAAGCTGAGGGCACAGTGCAGCAAGAGCAGGTTCTCGTCACCCGAGTCCCTCCACTGCCAGCTCTGTACACAGTGTCGCTTCTGTGCATCCCCAAGAGTCTCTGTCCATACAACAAGTCCCCCGAGAACTGAGAGCTGTCAGGATGCTTCTCCCAAGGGGAGTGAGGGGCCTGCGGCGGTCACGCGGCTCTTAGGAAGAGACAGCTGTCCCTATCCCAGGGGACTCGGGCTTCCTCCGTCCTTCCCACGCTGACTGTGTTCACGAGGGGCTTCCTCAAGTCAGGATCCAGTGCAGACTCGTCTGTCTAGTTTGGTTGTGTCTCTTTATGCTCTTTCTCCTTCTATAATAAACCCAGTAGCTTTGTTTTTCTTCTCTTCACGGTGCTACTTTTTGAGTTTTGAGCATGCCAAGCCCAGTCTTTGGAAGCCGACCCCATTCTGGATTTGTTGAGATCTGCCTTGTAATACCTTTCAACCAGCTTGTCTGGCTTTCTTCGCCACGTCCCAGTCTGTCCTGCAGACCGAAAGCTTTGCCTAAAATTCAAGCTCAATATTTTGGCAAGAGTGTTTAAGAGATGGTGTTGACTGATTCCTGTTACGTCCCTCAGGACACTGGGAGGGCATGCTGAGGACCCACAGTGGCGAAGATACTTGGTTAAAAGAGCACCACCAATGTCCCCATAGCATGCACACATCTCCCCTTTGCGGTTATCAAAAAAATCTTTTGGATGGAACTGAAATCCACTAAAAGTCAACAGCTATCCTATTGCCAATAATCTTTCATCAGATTGGTTGAAAATATACTAATGCCCCTCGTCTATAACTATCACCCTTTGGCAGAGCAAATAGTCATTTCCTTGTTCTGAATATCAAGATGGTTTAGTCCAAGAGCACTGGGAAGCCATTGCAGAAGTGGCGTATTGCAGGATCAGGAGTGTGCTGGCACCTTGATCAGATCATAATTAAAAAGATCACTCTGAATGAAGTGCATGTCGAAGGGCCAAAGGTGGACACAGGTAGATGGGCCAGCATCCCCCTGCCACAGTCCAGGTGTGAGAGGATGACTCTTCGGCAAAGCTTGTGTTTTAGAAATGGAGAGAAGCAGATGGCTTTAGGCTAAGAAGAATTTGCCTCTGAGATGCACTAATGATTATTGTTAGAGCTGCCCACTTATTATCTAGGACACCCAATGAATAATCAAACTGCAAAGTGCAATGGGAATAAATCAGGGTTTAAAGATGAACCTTTTACAGGACAACCCTTGTTGACTTGGGGACTTCAGGTTCACAGGCTGCTGAGCCTCACAGGCCTTCCTGGGCAGCTGCAGTTGCTTGGACCACCATGGCTAGTGAATTATGCAGAGCCACAAGGAAGCCTTGCAAAACCTCGTCTCCCACTCTCGACAGCGTTCTGTTTGTTCAGCAAAGTCCCAAAATTTAACAGCTGAGCCATGCTAATGAAGTACGGGACTGTGTCTCCGAGAGAAGAAAAGGAGCTGGGAAAAGATGCTTCTCTTCCAGAATAATAAGAACCAGACCCTGCATCTCAATTATCAGGCTTCGAGGAGCGATCACAAGGAAGCCAGCAAATTCCTGCAAACGGAGGGGCGGCTGAGTTACAGCACTTAGCCAGCAGAACGTGCAACCTGGGCATCAGAATGGGGAAATCTTGACAAAGTGGGGAAGCTGCACGAAATGTGAATTTCAGTAATTTAACTGGGGAAAGAAGCCAGCTGTGCGTCAGGGGACACCTGGAGTGCTCCCACCCTGAGGTTTGGCGGTTGCAGGCCCCACAGGCAGAGTTTGGAACCCATCTGCACTGACTTTCCCTCCTGGCCTAGAGGTCTCCCTTGACAGGGGGTGGCCACTGTCGTTCCCTGAGTCTTATTCATGGTTGGGTGCACCAAAGCCCTCCACAACATAGACGTGACTTGCAGGAACCTGGCATGGCTATACAGGTGGCAGAGAAAGTAGGTGAACTTTGGACATCGCCTGATTGTCCTCCTCACATTTGGCTTGTGAGCCTTTGCAAGTGATGCCGGTTAAGAACTTTGTTACTTTATTGGCTGCTTAGATTCCATTCACCACCTTGGCCTTCACAGCCAGTGCACCTAATTATGATTCAATAGATTAAATAAATGAGGAATATCCACTCATTTGGTGTTCTCTGACCATGGCCTCATTTCTCTAAGTCAACTCACCAGTGCCTTCCTGTTCCACCTGCAGGCCCTGAGCACACACGGGGCTCCTGGAGGTGTGGTCTTTTCGGGATAACCCTTGCCGTGTTCAGGTTAGAGCAGAATAAGTGTCAAGCCCTCAGGTTAGGAAATCATCCTTCCAACAGGCACAGGGGAGCGGGGTACCCCTTCCCATCACTGTGAGCCCTCTTACCAGCCTTGATCCCTGCTGACCCTGTGGTCAGCCTGGGAAGGACAGAAAACCCTCTGTGAGACACAGAGGCATGGCTGATGGCTCAGTGGGGTGGCACTGCTGTGTGGAAGGGTTGGGCAAAGAGGCCACATGCTCCAGTGGTGTGCAGCAGGATGACTGTGTGCAGGTGGCCAGGACATGCCTTGTATTTTTAAATGGCGCCAGGAGGAGGGAGGGATAATAATATGCCTAATTTGACCTAATGGGTGTTGTTCCTTTTGAAAAATGGATTTAGAGTAAATAAGGAAAAGGTACAACCAGCCGATTACGATTGGAAAAAAAAAAAAAAAAACAAACCTGTTCTCCTGTAAGCAGAAAGGGCAAGGATGAGTATTTGTAAACTCTGGGGGATCCCAATCTACTGGTTTTGACTCTGAGAGAGACGTACCCAGAGACCCTTTCAAAATACATCCTGGAGCCTGCAGCTCGGTCAGGAGGACCCCAGACACACAGAAAGACAGAGCTGCTACGCCACTCCCACAATGTACGTCCTCATTGGTTTTCAGAATGCTTTCGTTCAGCTAAAAATAAGAACCTTCTGTAATCTCACCACGCATGCCTTCATGGGCGTTGACGTCCCCCTCTTCCTGGGGGCTGTTCCAACCGTGTGTTTTCTGTTTCAGGATTTTCTGATGGAAACCTTCATCATGTTTAAGAACCTCATTGGGAAGAACGTGTACCCCTTCGACTGGGTGATAATGAACATGATGCAGAACAAGTAAGTACCCGGGAAGGGCCCACGCCCACTCGTCCCGTGGGAGCCGAGTGCTACTAGGGGCGAAGGTGGCTTTTGTACAAAGTGCCTCCCCTCCTGTGATGCGGGTAGCATTGGGGATGGGGAAGTGGAAGTTGGTGACTTCTGCGTGTCCACAGGGAGCTCTGGCACTAGGAAGCGGGACTTTGTCCCTTGGAGAAACACAGCCTGAGTTGCTCTCTTAGCCCCCGTCACAGGCAGAGACGTGCTCCGGCCCAAGACTTCTCCATCTCATTTCAACCATATGTTTTTCTTAGCCAAAGTGAGTCTCAGCTGTACGCTCAGCTTTTGAAAGGACTTATATTTCACATATTTCAGATTTAAAAAAAGAAAAACCTCATGAGCATTTTCTCCATGAAATATTAAACTTGTGCCTTGCTTATCATCTTCCTATAAAGGCTGTTGGTGAATATTCTAGCACTTTGGGTTTTATAATTTCTGTAAGTACTAACGGTAATCGTAGAGCTCTCAACTGCATGGGATTTGGGACGGAGATTTCTCTCGGCCTCTTTCTTCTTATTGCATTTTTTGTGAGGAGAATTGTTGGCTCACATGCAGTTGTAAGAGATGGGACAGAGAGATCCATGGATGCCGCACCCACCTCTCTTCTGTGTGACACTTTGCAGGACCGTAGTATTGCACGTGACCAGGGACTGGACCCTGGTTCCTTCACTCATGTGTACCCCTTAGTGCTGTGTTGAGTTCTATAGATTCTACCCCGTGTGTGTTCTTGAATCTGCTCCCAGTCAAAGTGCCGTGTGCATGCCTGCCCCCACAAATGCCGCTCTTCCTGCCCCTTTATCAGCACATTTCCCTCTCCCTTCCAGCAACCCTATAAATGCGGTTATCTGTATATGCTCTTTTTGATTGGCTTTTTTCACTCTTTAATTTCCCAGAGTCCCATTTAGGCTGCTGCATGTGTCTATATTTTATTCCTTTTCATGGCTGAGGAATACTTCATGGTATGAGCAGACCTCGGTTTGTTTAACCATGTTCCTGGTGGACACCTGGCTAGTTGCCATCTTGGTGCTTCTGAATAAAGCTACTACAAGCGTCCATTGCATAGGCTCCTGAATGAACACAAGTCTTCATTTCTGTGTGACACAGACGCCTAGGAGGGCAGTGTTAGCTCGTGTGGCAATTGCACATGAGAGTTCATGAGAAACTGCCAAAGCATGCCGCACCGTTCTCTGTCCCCAGCCGCCGAGTAGGAGAGGTCCAGTGTCTCCACAGCCAAGCTGTAGGACCGTGCTGGTCCACTTTTGGTCACTATAACCAAAATACCTGGAAGGAACAACTTAGAGGAGATGAGGTTTATTTTGGCTCGCGGTTTCATAGGATTGGTGCGTGGTTGACCAACCCCATGCTCTGGGCCCACGGGGAACAGAACATCATGGCAGAAGGTTGGCGTGGAAGACGGCTGCTCCGCTCATGGTAACCAAGAAGCAGAGAAACAAAGAGAGGAGAGCCAGGGACAAGATATCATCCCCAAGGGCACGCCCCCAGTAACATCCTTCCTCCAGCTATGCCCCCCCTGACTATGGTTACCACCCAGTAATCCAGTCAAGTTATCAACCCATCAAACGGATTAATATCTGATTAGGTCTCAGCTTTCGATCTGATCATCCTTCCTTTGAACATTCCAGTGTTGCCTAGTACATGAGCTTTATGGGGGACACCTCATATCCGCACTGTAACAGGAATTGACACCATTTTTAATTTTAGCCATTCTGGTAGGTCGGTCGTGATTTTCCTTACTAGGTTAGTTTGCATTTCCCTGATGGCTCTGCCTCTTTTTGATGGCTTTTGCCCCCTCATGGGCAAGTCCTGAGCAGCAGCAATCTTTCGCTTGGCTTCTCCTGGTCATTGCTCCTTTTCGTGACAAAGGGCACAGAATTGGCCTTGTTTTCCGTGAGCCGCAGGGTTGTGAGCTGGTCCCTATGGGGCTATGCAGGAAGCAGTGCTGGGCGGCTCAGGTCAGATGCTGCTGGGATGTGATCTCCTTTCCCGAGAAGACTGCAGTTGGGACACCGGATCTGGACCCAGCAGGGCTGGCTTTGCGAGAGACACAGCCCTGGCTTGGGGCTCAGAGCAGGGTCCTGACCTCTGCTTCTGCCTCTCTCCTGCTGCGCAGGTTTTGATCATGCAGCTGGATCTCTCTTGATGGTTGAATGTTCATCTAGATAATGAGGGACTTAAATCACTAGTGTTTTCTCCCTTTTTTTTTTTCCTCTGTTAGGATTTACTTTTGTGATTGACAATTAAGAATTACTCCAAAGAGCTACAGAAGTGTTTTTAATGAACTTCATTTTCACACCACAAAAACAAACAAATCAGCGAGAATAACCAAAAAACAAAACAAACAACAAAAAACCACCAGTAGGGAAATGTAAATCTCACTATGTCCATGAGATGCCCAGGACTTTGTCCTCTGACTCTCCATGGGGACATCGCCCCTAGGTGGCTCTGGTAGACTGGCCATGACCTGGTGCTCAGGCTGTGGATTCCACACCCCTGGGTGCTCTCTGCTGCAGCAAAGCTCACATGTGAGTGGCTCCCCAAAGCTGTATTTCACGGTACCCTAACTTTCAGGGTTCCCAAGTGAGCTGTTATCCTCTTGAGAACACAAAGTCTATTGCTTATTAATTTTTACAGTGTTTGTTGATGACTAAGAGCCTGTTTTCACTGTCTGGTTCCCTCTTCCTGCTGTGCACCCCCTGCCTCCAGCCTGAGCCCCTTGAGGCTGCCCCAGAGCTGTGTGATTATCACCCAGGTGGTCACAGTACTCTGGTCCAGGAATCCTTCCTGTCTGGCTTCTCCTGGGATGTGCTGATTCTTTGGGGGACCATATTCCTTGGAATCCAGCAGCATCTCCACTGCAGCTTCCTGTGGTCCAGTGATGTGTGGGTGTCCACACGGGCGCGTGTGCCTGTGTCTGTGCACGGGGGCTGTGGTTGCAAGTAAAGGCACTTGTGTTTGTAGTGATTCCAACCCCTAGAAGCTCACACAGACCCACCTTCTGCACCCAGCACTGCACATGTCCCCAGGCCACTGTGAGCTACAGAAGAGTCGGCTGAGAAGGAGGCATTTAGGACACAACTGCAGAAGCAGCACTGGCCAGCGCACCTTTTATCCCACATTCTACGACCCACAAATGCTGCCCCTTCTGTGGAGTAGACAGCATTCATTTTCAGAAGCCAAATCAGTTGGGTTTTGGAGAAGGTCATTGCCACCACGGGGCCAAACACCACTCCCTGGGTCGGTGACCCTGAGGTCTCTGACGCCTTGGCTTGAACACTAGCTTCTCGAGGAAGGGTCTATTCCATTTTCACGAGATGCGTCCACTCTTTGTGGAGTGCTGCACACTTGGTTCTGGGACTAGGAGGGACTGTGTGTGGCTTGCTCTCCACGCACTGGGCCTGACATGGGGACTCCCCGTGCAGTAGTGTCCTTGGCCCCTTCAGTCGCCCTCCAGCACACCCTGCTTTGCTCCTGGGGAAACCGAGGCAGGGGTTTGTAACATACCGAAGGACAGGAGCTGCAGTGGCCAGGCTGGTGTTTCAGTCCTGCCGCAGAGCCGAGCCTAAACCCCTTGCCCCCGGCCCTCCATCTTGTGCCTCCTGTTTCCCCAGGAAAGTGTGGAGGGGCTTTTACTCTAGTGTTCTTACAAGATAACTTTTCTGCAAGACGCATCCTCTCCCCGAGGGAACGTTGAGCACGGAAGCCGACACTGCTGCTCCTCCTCCTTTTCCAGCCGAAGCCTGAGCTTTTGGGGAGGATGCCCCCCCACTAATGTGCTCCCTGCCCATCCTCGGGGCACGTGGAAGGACAGGATCTCCCCAACGCCAGGATAAAACCGGCTCCCTGTGGACAGGACGTAGGCCCCACCCAGCATGTTCTCGTGCCCTTCCTGTTGGCCTTGCTGTTCGCCTGCGAACATCTCAGCATCTCGCCCCCTGCCAGGCTTGTGCGCTTCCCTCCTCCTGGCATGATTCAGAGACCGCCTCGCCTCCGTAGGATAAGCTGTGACTCCCGGAAGCTTCTGGAGTCTGCATTTAAGTATTAACGGCACAGCTGGACATGTAGTTTTACCACCCACGGCTGAGAAATGGAGAAAATCCGCCTCTATGGTCCCTTAAATATTTGTGTGCTTGTTCAGCTTTGTCTCTGTGACTTACATCCCTCATACCCGGACTTGTAAAAGGTAATTAAAGACAGCAGGCATTAGAGTTGGTGCGGTGACTTGTAAATCAAGAATCAAAGCCTTAAGACCGGACGGATGTCCAAAAGGACTCTCACCGCGTGCTTGCCGTGTTGAAGAGAATGACTGATTGGCAGTGGCCTGACATTATAGCTCGGTGCTAGAATGGTGGGGCCAGGTGGCAGGATGACGTTTGAGGTGAGCACAGTTCAGACATCGTCGAAGCCTGCTTGTGTGCACGCGTCCAGTGCGCGTCATGATTGTGCCAGCGGGGCCCCAGTGTTGACCTCCCTTGAACAGCTCAGGTGTGTTGGAACCATAGACCTGCCCAGCCAGCGGCCGAGGGCTGGTGTCTGTCCTGGGTCTCCTGTCAGCAGCCTGTTCCAGATGTATGTTTGCAGGAGTGGGGCGTGTGTGTGTGTGTGTGTGTGTGTGTGTGTGTGTGCATGGTCCAGCAGCCTTGTTCTGCTGTCCCAGAGTTCTCAGCTGCTAACAGATAGGTGGCCACTTGGTTGAGTGTTCATGTCGCTTGAGGTCTTGGCCCTTGGCTTCACCCCAGCAGGGTACTGTACTCCAGTGATGCCCCCTACAATTGTGAGCCTCTGCATGAGCTGAAGCACACGAGTCTGCGGGTTCCCTGGACTCCCTTTCACCTCCCCGAAAGCACTTGTTATTAACTGCTCTAATTTCACCTGAGAACGGCATTCCTGCTGAGCAGTGGTGGGAAGGGTCTTGCCGAGTGTCACTTTCAGATTCTTTGAAT